AATCGGCTCTAATATGCCCATGGAATAAGTCTGTACGGTACCCTCTGTACCCAATCTTCCCACTCCTTACCAAATGCATCCTTGAGCATTTTATCCTCCTTGTTCATCCTTGGAACCAAAGCAATACGGATTAACACCATCATGAAAGTCCAAGCTGATAACCATCCCATTGGTGTTGTATTGATCCAACTTGACAACCACGATCCTCTGCTCAAATGGGAGCCTACAGCACCTATACCGCATAACATTGCCCCAACATAGCTCGGGTGACGGACGATAGAGTACGGACCGTGCGTAATGAGCTTATGGTCCTTCCGTATGCTTAGTTCGAATGTGAAGAATGAGGACATTATGCGGTAGCAGCACACGCGCAGAGACGACCCGAAGATCGCGCAGGACCAGAAAAAGAGGTAGGGCCTCGTGAGGCGAAGGGGGAGGTTTAGAGATGGCATGAGATGGAGGGGAACATATCGAATAGGTAAAAGATCGTTGGCGGAGAGGATCGCAAGTGTTTCAGTTGCACAGAGCAAGTAAAACGTCACCTAAATGATGAAGATGGTTACTAAATATCGAGGCGAAGAATACGGAACATGACTAGTACACGCGCTAGATTATGACCGACCTTGGTGAAGACAGCAAAGGCAGGTGCTGCTCGTTCGATGTCTAGGCCTTTGATGGGTAGATGTTCTTCTACAGGCGCCAGATGAGGCGGTGTCATTGATTTGTGGACGCCATAAGTGGTTGATAATAGAAAGGGAAGTCTTAAAAGGCTGGTGTTCATTTTTCCAACTGATTGGGATCTATAACGTGAGTATATTGAGCTGTGTTCAGTCCTAGGTGCTGTACAGACTTGTCAAAAGATGGAATTTACGAGTATGAAGAGTCGCACTTGCCGCCTAAGTATCTGACTTGGCAGGAACCTTAACGGTATATTTACGGGATATTGCGCTCGGTTGGTTGATATTTGATACTCGCAGCTGCTTGACAATACTGTAACCCAACACAAATGAGAAAACTTTGAGTTAGTGGCTAGTATATTTTATGATAAAATACGGAAATCTTCTACCAAAGATACTCCTGAATCAACTCAAACTGAGAATGTACGAAGATGGATCCGGACAAGAGTGTCAAAGGATGTACGTCATCATCCGTGGGACAAGTGATCCGCGGGCCGGGGGAGCAGGTTTTCGAAATTTCACTGATAATTGAATTTCCTGCTCAAGTCTGACGTCGACGTACGTAGTATACTCTATACTCTGCTAGAGGGGGTTCTCAAGGGCTCTGAACTGTACTGCTCAATAACTCTCCACACTGGTAATGTTCATATTAAAGCTTTTGTCCGGATCGTTTCCTGCTGCAGTGGGGGGCTGACATGGTCAAGGTATCCATTGCAATGAATCCATCAGGATCTCGAGGGATCTGTACGTGTCACAATAGGTCACCATTACTTGATGATTCAGCCACATAGGCACCCGCCCGCGGCACGATGATTTAATTACTCGTGTTATTCCCTGCCGTTAGTTTTCCATTTCGTCCCGTTTCACCTTGGCGAGCATATAAGAGAGAAAGTGCCTGCTTCTGTCTCAACAACCAACCCTGTATTGTGTGCATGATGCTAGACGAAGGCGAGTCACTCTTGATCCATCCAGCATCCCTTGTGCTGACCCACCGGTCTTGCAGTGCTTGGTTTTGGCAAACGCGCCGCCATGCAAGTGGACAGTTTCTATGGGTATGTTCCCGACAGAGGGATCTCGATATTGTTCTTAGTCCTTTTTTCTGTATCAACCCGTATGTCCTCATCTCGTGTTCAACACGCACCTATCTCACCCGCCGCAGTAATACATACCGGCCAAGCGGTCTTCTCTCGGGCATGGTGGTTATTAGCTACCGCAGTCCTGTGCGGCCTCCTCGAAATTCTGGGGTGGAGCGCACGGCTATGGTCAAGTTCCAACCCTGGGCTCCCAGATCCTTACGAGATGCAGTAGGTCTACTACTATTAGTCCAGTCGGACTGGTCACAGACAGCTTTTGATTAATATGAGAATAGATTGACCTGTACCATCTTGGCACCGACGCCACTCTTGGCCGCCAATTTTGTGATCCTCGAGAAGCTGATTGAGCGTCTTGGAGCCGGGTACAGTCGCTTAAGCCCAAGGGCATGTGTGTACTTTTTGCCTATGGATCTTATTTTTGCTTTACTCATTCTCTGGGCTTATCTAGATCTTATTATTTTTTGTTCGTGCGATATAATATCTCTCGTGATCCAAGCTATTGGTGGTGGATTGGCAGCAACGGCTGTATCGGAGAACACAGATCCAGAGAAGGTGTAGCAGGATTTATCATTTCGCTGGACAGAAATCTAACTCTTGGCGGTTCCACAGGGAGGACATATCATGCTAGGCGGTATTGCCTTCCAAATGGGTACGTTCATCGAATCATCATTTACAAGACCTTCTCTCTGACAAGAAGCAGCTGTCATCACGATATACTCCATCTTGGGCAGCGAGTTCCTCATAAGATACTTGGTTGATAAGCCTATTCCCGGACGCGACATCACTAGAGGTCACTTGAACACGAAATTGAAACTCCTCACCGCAGCTCTCGCCTTCAGTACGGTTTGTCTGTTTATTCGGTACGTCTTCTTTGACTTGGTACTTGGCAGCCGAATTGACAGTAGAGTAGAGCTGTATATCGTACGATTGAGCTGTCTGATGGGTGGACGGGAAGAATCATTACAACAGAGGTCTATTTCAGTAAGGCTTTGCGTCTCATCTTTGGGTCGTTGTCTCATCGACTGACTAGATGTGCTCGACGGAACAATGATTGTACTCGCACTTTACACGTTCAACATATTCCATCCTATGTTACTCCTTCAAGACAAGACGAAATCACTAGAACGGAACCAGGAGAAAGACGCCGACGGGGACACAGTAGTTGCGTAGAAAATAAATATTTTATATTCTTTACACTCCTGCCTTTCTATTTTACATACACGCTCAGGTAATCTCTTAATCGTCTAACGGAATAATAGTAATCCCGTTAGTATAACAAGTCTCGGCATAAAAAGCGGAGAAGCCACTGTCGGCGTCCCAATGAGCTGTATACTTTCCGCCGAACGGCTCAACGTAAATTTGAAGGGCGCGATAGGGATCCTGGTTCGGTATGGTGTTGACAGCCTCAATCGCCTGCCCGATCATATGCTTGGCTCTCCGGCGACTGTCGTCAGTCGGAGGGAAACGCGGGGAGAAAGACAGTGGGCACTCCAAATTAAGAGTGGAGAGGTCGGGTAACAATTTGAGGGAGTGTAGCAGGTATGCCTAGTAGAAGAAATCAGCGAATGCATGACAAAATAGAAGTAGAAGTTAGACTGACGACTATGCCTGGTTCAGTGGGGTTGGAAATGTCTGAGAAGCGCAAAGATACCCAGAGAGTGACCAGATTGCGACACTGTAGGATGGGTAAGATAGTTGATTCCTGGAATGACCACATTCCCTCAAACATTGGTTGGATACTCAGTATCCTTAACGTCGCAGAATGATGAGGTAGGACTTGAGAAAAGAACTTTGTCCCGAACTCGTCGTACTCCGCATTATCTTTAGGCAGCCGGAATCTGAATTCCTCCGCGCCGGTGTATGACAACAGGTAATCCAAGAGTTCTGAATTGACCTCATCAACATTGACGGAACGGAGATGAACGTTGTGCAAGCCGGACCAGAATTTGGGTGGAAACATTCCAGAAGGAGCTACACCGAGGAGTGTGAGGAACTGGAAATGAGGAACAAGGATGATAGACGGCGGGACGCGTATCTTGCTGAGGACCAGCGACTTCAATCGCAATGGACGGCGGAGGTTTTGAAATAAGTTGCCCAATGTAGTTGCGGGGCCACGGGTGTGGTCAGCCAGAGCAAGAAAAGATAGGTCGGGGCAGTTCTCCAAGATACCTGGCAGGCTATCACAGAGAAACTCATCCCAAGACCGCCCACTGAACGAAAGATCCAACGATGTGAGGTTCTTCATGTGAAAGCGAGGGAGTTGACGGTGCATCCTGTTCGCCATGTATAGTATGAACGTTCGAAGAGAAGGTAGTCGACAGATACTTGAAATCACGGCCCCAATGATGGTGTCGTCGACGGGTTTAACACTAAACCAGCTGCAAGAAAATTGGTTCAATGCCTAGAAGAAATCGTTCATAACTCACTCGACAGTTGTAATATTTTCCAACGACACAATCGCCCTGTACAATGCACTCGAAACAACCTTTATCGACTTTTTCGGCATTTTCTCATTTGCGAAAAGCGGCTCTAGACGTGGAGATTGGACCAGATGCAGCACCTTGACGTATCTCCAGATGTCCGTAGTGCGCGTCGCCAACGCCTTCAACATGGCCCGATTCGACAGCAATGCATCTTCAGTAACAGTTATGTTAAAGTCCGCAAAAACAAGCTCGATAGTGGCATCGTTGAGCGACTTGCAGACGAGACGGAGGTTCTTCTGACTTTCACGGTTGAGCTACGGAACAGTAAGTTGCAAAAGTTAGGTGAGAAAATCGAGGCATTCACCAGTTCAGATATCTTGAGAAGAAGCTCTACCGGTAATTGGAGAAGCATGAAGTCTGATGGTCGCGGAGGAAGAGCTGTAATGTTCAAAATGGTTGAAAGAGGCATTGTATGTCATTGTTGTCCTGGAGCTTCCATCCGGGATATCCGGCTTCAAGTTCGGTCGTCCCACGGAGTCATTCTAAACAGGACGCGTTCCCAGAATCTTTCTTCGAGCTTCGGTAAAGTCTTCCCGATTAAATTCCTTCATTTCAGAACGTCTACTTCTTACAGAATGCTACTTTTCTTGAAATTTCTAATTGGGCAACTGAAATTTTTGCGTGATCGGCACCGCGTTGTCGATGAGTTCTCTTCCGTCCCTTCTTCCGAACGAGCGAAATTGACATATGAAACGCATATCTGGCAGTTTGAAACCGTGACTACCGTCCAAAGGTTTGTGGTCGGCGACAAGGTGGCCGAGTGGTTAAGGCGCCAGACTAAGGAACGTGGATTTCTGTGTAATTCTGGGCCAAGGCAGATTCTGCCCATTCATCCATCTGGTCCGAAAGGACGTGGGTTCGAGTCCCATCCTTGTCATTGTTTTGCAATCCTACGGAGCTACAAAGCTTAACTTTTAAGCGGCAAGCGGCAGTGGGCACCGGGCAAGCCTGTATTATTGCAGCATTGCTGCTTCGTCCTTCACTGTTCGGAACTTGGTAGTAACTAGTTCCATGTATCGGGTGACGGCGCGTCCAAGCCGGAGAAAGGGAGCCAAGTGGAACTGGACACTGGAACCGCCCAGTCGGCGCGATAGTCCCTGGAAACCAGTCTGTTTCATCTATATGACATCGACAGCCTTACTGCCTGTCAGTCCTAACCCATGTGACCGACGAAGCACCAAAAATTCAAAGTTGCACGACTCCCAAGAGTAAGGAGCGCTACTGAGTTCCAGGTCGGTGAAATACCATGGTACCAGATGTGGGCCTTAACCCCCTGATTCCATAGTATTAGCTGTCATTCCTGCAAGCAAAAGATGCGTCTTCCGAAGTTTTGATGCGTTTCACAGAAATTCAGCTTTGGGATCTATAGGTATACTTACATCCATATACAGGCTACACCATTATCTAGTGACGTTCCTTGCGGTCGATTCACAGGACAAGGTGCGCTTCTCTGAGGTTTCCAAGAAGTTTTACTCTGACTGTCCGTATAAGACTACTTTGACGCGCATTTCTAGCCTCGGGAGACACGCTTGCGCAGTCATTAGCTACTTTGTTCTACACTTTCCCTGAGAAAATACACTCAAACTTCGAACACTACATCCAATGGATAAATCAGGTAGATATATTGCTGTTCACAGCAGGAAGAACATTGTTTTGATGCACTCCCTTTTCCCTTCCTCGTATCATCAATATCTGCCAGCGAGACTCGGTGATTCAACAATGGATGCTTAATCCATCTCCAGGGCCATACCACTGTTTTATAATAGCTAAGGAAGTGCGTTAGGGTCGCGACGAAAGGATTACAAGGATAAGCTCCAGGGAGGCGCCTTTCCGATGTAAATCACTCCATTTACAACTATTGAAGCCATATCTGGGGACCATACAGAAACGAAACGTAGGGGATACGCGACTCTAGGATTATATGATAACTTGAAATAAGTATGAAATTAATTAGAGAATAGATTTGTGAAGGGAGTGTGAATTATACGGCATTAATAAGTATGTCGTGCTCGCGAGGTTGACGATAGTCGATCTTTATTTGCTCCCACCTCCCTTGGGCCCACCTCCATTCGTAGTGGAACCCTGGCTAGTGCTGGTGCTTTTGCCACGGGGGATGTATCTGTGAAACGCCAGCTAAGACGAATTCATATATCTGATATAATGGAACTAGCGTACCCTTGACCAGGCTTCGAAGGACTATAAGAACTCCGTTAGAAAAAAGGTCGATGAATAAATTATAGCTGAACAGGGCGCGAACCTAAAGTAATCTCGTTTGAGAACGATTCTAGACCCGTCGTGAGCATGATTCATGGCGTAAAAATTGAAATAAAACGCACATAATATTTTTGAGGGATGTGATTGAAAGAAAGTTTTTATAAGACATGTTGATTATAAGCGAGTCTGTGCTCTTGATTCTGGCTCCGGGCTAGAGAAGAAAGTAAAGTAGTGAAGATGAAGAAATATCCATCTGACCCACCGTCCTTTATACCCTGTTGTTGATGCAGTGCGTGACTTCTTGTTGGCATGCTTTCAAAGGTATAAGACGAGTGTAGTCAAGATCAAGGCTGGCGACGTTTCAGAATCCGGTACAGGATGAAACTTGAACATCGAAATACACGACAATCGATAATCAATGCACCATATTTGTATTGATAGTCGGCCTAGCGCGTTGACTGCACTGCCTAGGTGCAAAAGATGTCATTGCAATGCCGATCTTTCATCGAATCCGTCAAGGGGTTGATTGTTGATACCCAGTCGCAATTTGGGAACGACTGCTATGGCTGTACAAAGAAGCGTAAATCCAGTAGATCTGATCCGTCATTGTAATATACATATGATGCAAACTCCGCCGAACAAGAGTGGCCATCAAGCCAAGCAGCTTCAATTATCGGAGTCACCGTGAGATACATGCAACTCCTTCTTTGAGTCTTCGAGGTGGTCGCTAGAATGGCTGAATTCGCTGGGAGGATGGAAGTCTCAAGGCTAGGTTGAGCTCCGAAGGTGTGGTAGTTCGTGGAAGAAGCAAATTCATCTACTTTGTACAATTGTATGATCTGTCAAGGAACGAAATTACGTTCCTGTCAGGTGAAAAGTTGGCGGGCCGATCATAGAAATTTGCAGATTTGATTCCCTAGCGCCTAGCGGCTGATCCGAACTATCACGACCAAGAAACACCGGAGCGCTTTCGTCTCCATTCCTTTCCCCGTCATAGCAATATAGGCTGCCTAATCAATGCAAGCGAGACAAGTTCAATTTACGGTCTGATCATCTACTAGATTGTTGGAATTTATTTCAGATTCGTTGGATCCACTAGTCGGAGGAACTTCACGATTCTTAGTCTATTGTTTAACGCGGGGGAGTTTCCTTGCAACCGTGTTATTACTACCAAGCATGCCATAATTTGATTGCCGTCCATCGGCACTGCGCCAAACGGAACCAGATCTGAGGATACTACCGGCGGCAAGTTTAGCGTGCCGATTCAGCAGGTCTGGACAGAAAATAATGCATGTGCCACCTTTCCCTTCATATTAAATTCATTTTATGCGACAAGAGACGTTGCATCATAAATGAAGACCCCACCATAGTCTCCAAACGCATCCCAAGTCCTTAAATAGTTAAGTTACGCGCTGCCGACGGTTTCCATCAAAATTGTAATAACTCGGTTGCAAGGCAGACTGTCCCTCCCTTCCATCAATAGGTCTGTATCGTTGTCTGTCTACGAGAGAATAAGGAACATCGTCTCGAGATTGATTCGGAAACTATATATGTACGTAAGCGCGAGGAACCAACGATGACTCGATCTAGCGGGTTTCACTCATGCTGATGACCATTGAAACGATGGTTGACGCTGTTTTCTAGGGAAATGACTCAGTCGTCACAGAATTTCAGCGTCATAGTTAATTATGGTGACTGAATTTCATCATATCTCGGACATCTCCTTCTCGTATCTCCGTCATTTTCACCTTTTGAGGACCTCCATCCACCAAAGCATAGAGTGCGCATTTAGACCCGTCATTGAGAACAGTCAAGTGTCTGAAAAGTTTGATTCCATTCTGCCCATCTCTAGTTGCTAGATCTAACTTCTCTCAAGGCTGTACATCCCTGGTAAATTTATTCTGTCAACAGCGCGCATCTGGTTGCAAGTTCGGATCGATCCCTAGTAGTCATATCGATTGTAATGCATCAGCCTTCTGGTACGGGATAGTCAGGCTCTAAAGCTTCTCGCCACGACACTAGGATTTTTCCGAAACCAAGAATTGTAACTCCCATAGATCAACTTAAAAATATCACGATTCATCAATTGCCTCCTAGGATCAACATAGAACCCAACTCTGTTCATTAGTGTTGGATTGACAAGTGTCGTGCATTCTCGGGATCTACGACTGTCCAATGTCAAGAGAGGAATACTGTCCTCCTCGGACTTCATTTCATTTACTTCACAACATCGATTCTATTACCTACTCATTAGTATACAGAATACAAATAGGTGGCCCTAATTTGATGACCTTCGCTCGTTTGTGAGGGTTCCCTGCTTATATCCGGGTGAACAGCTGGAGAATTACCGTTCATCTCAACAATTAGACACAGAAAGCTTTGCTTTTTTTTTTTTTTTTTGCCAAATATGACTTTTTGGTAAGCTGATACCACCTTTCAGAGCCAGATAACACACGGCTACTGCCTATCTGCTACTTACTATCAGGTATTAAGCGCATGAATTATTATCGTGTGACTGAAGGTGTGCACCGTTGTGTTAGCTCAATTGAGCACAATGCACCGGTAACACATATATCCGCCGTCGTTCCTCTTATGAACAGTCTTTATCGACGTGCGTCTATAAGACTACTGATAACGCGCAGTTCGTGATCAATTAGGCGCGCTTGTGGCGTGCGACTATATATCCAATTTAGGTTCGGGAATTGCCTTTCATCCACAACAGGCCGGACTGACATTTTCTTTTCGTTCTTCTCGATGTGACGAGCTTCGCGGATAACATCAGAACTCCCTGATTTGTGCAATTTGAATACGTCGGTAACGGATCTTTGTTGCGAAGTTCAACTTACCGGTGATTACCAGGTTGCAGTAAGTACAAGCACAGCTTGATATTCGTTTGCATTCACCTGTTTTCATTCATCGTCCTCGACTACTGCCCCCTTCATCTTTACCCTTTCTGCGAAGCTGCCCTCTCAAATCATGGGACATAGGGTGGATGACGGATGAATCACGACCCTTTGAAGCTGAAATACTCTTGCAGGACCATTTAGGTCCAGAATCGGAGAGACGGCGTTACCCTGGCAGCGGTCATTCTGCCGACGACTAGGAAGCAAGCAATGACTTCGTACCTCACTACCTGTACTCCTTTCCTCCTCATCCCCGAGTCCCCGGGGAAAGACCGCATATCGAAAACAGGGCGTACTTTTGATCTCTCGTGCCGCTCAAGAATGAAATGTGTACGATCGATACATGCTGAACAAAAAATCGAGTGGTATATACACTGTGATCTTTACACTCTCCGGAGCTTTCACTAATGTAATTTAAGCAGTCCGACGTATCTCCCCTCGACGATGCAACCTGAAGGAAGAGTTCGGACTTGTTGCTCTACTTTTCTCGATGTTTCAATGGGATATCGGTTTGCGAAGTGCCCTGCGCCACTGCCAGAAGGCAGTGGAAGATGTCAGGCAGACATGCCATAAGTCCTTGCTTCCTCTGATTGGTGCAGATTAAATCGGCACTTCGTAACGCTTCGGCTGCGCTTTAGCCGTCATCTGGTCTGGTCCTTTCTCTGAAAACTCCTCCATGTTGCGATAAGTATGCTTACGAATATCAACCTTTTCGCTCGAGATTGAACCCGCCATTCCTGAACCACGATACAGTCAGTTT